CCCTAGTACCACCCAGCAACTCATTTTCCTAGGGAAGTTTGCTCATCTTGGCTGCATGGATCATGAAACCTTTGTTAGTGATTTTGCACCAGTCTGCAAACAATGAGTTTAGTGTTTTCATTCCCACCCTTAGCACTTACAATCCTAAGGCATCCTGGTAAAGCTTTTTCATCATATTAAAATCAAATAAGAATAACATTAGCTTGTGCTATACTGTTCATTTTAAGATGAATCCGACCGCAAGAAAACCTAACATTCAACAATCCGAATTAGAGAGTCTTGGCCTTTGCTACAGCCCGGCATCAGCTGCAGACCTCAGACTGCAGCAGGACTGGGAATCCTCCCAGGGGACTCAAAACAGTGGCTGGGTCTTGGGTAGCACTTGGGCATCCAGATTAAAAAATGAAACTTCTAAAAGAGATGTTGTTATCAAAGGCTCAGAATCACTGATTTCAAAACCAATAAACTATGAGAGTTAATTTTGACAGAAAAGTGCACATAATTTTCTGCTGGAGCTTTTTAAAAAATTTTTTAAATCTATCCTCTACCCTAGGACACCTCCAAATTGGCTTTCCAGCACACTTGGATCCCATTCTAGTTCTTCTCTGTATCTTGGCCAGAGTGATCATTTTGAGTTAAAAATAACATGCCATCTTTCCTTAAATCCTTAGAACTCAGTAATCGTTAAGTTGATCTCAGAAACAGAGTAGAATGGTAGCTACAAGAGTCTGGGTAGGGAGAGATTGGTTAATGGGAACAAAATCACAGTTAGACGGGAGGAATAAGTTCTAGTGTTCTATAGCACAGTGACTATTGTCAACAATTTATTATATGTTTCAAAATAGCTAGAGGGAAGGAGTTTGAATGTTTCCAACAAAGAAATAAAAAAGGTTCGAGGTTGTAGATATCACAGTTATCCTAATTTGATCACTACACATTATATACATGTATTGAAAATTTACATATGCCCCATAAATATGTGTAATTCTTATCAATTAAATTTTTTAAAACATTTAAAAATTAAAGCACCTTAATGGCTTTTCATTGCTCTTAGAAGAAAGATAAAAATCAAGAATTTGCACCACAAGTCTTAAAAGGTATTTTTATCTTTAACCTCATTTGATAACGTGTTTGTTTGTTTGTTTTTGGGTTTGGTTTTTTTTTTGAGATGGAGCCTTGCTCTCACACAGACTGTAGTGCAGTGGCTCGATTGACTCACTGCAACCTCCAACTCCTGGGTTCAAGCGATTCTTCCTTCCGCCTCAGCCTTCTGACCAGCTGGGAGTACAGGGGTGTGCCACCATGCCCAGCTAATTTTTGTATTTTTAGTAGAGACAGAGTTCCACCATATTGGCCAGGCTAGTCTTGAACTCCTGACCTTGTGATCTGCCCACCTCAGCCTCCCAATGTACTGGGATTACAGGCGTGAGCCACCACACCTGGCCAGGTAACATGTGCTTGTTCTCTCTCTCTTTTTCCTCTGTCTCTCTTAATTTCTTCATCTGTACTATTTCCCTCTACCACAGGCCCTTTGCACATCTGTTTCCTCTGTTCCCCTGACCTGCTGTCTCTCACTTGTGCCCCCCTTACTCATCTCCTTCGTTTGGTTTACCTTCTTTCAGGTCTTCTCAGCTCAGACATAACTTCCTCTTGGAAGCCTTCTTTGAAGTTCCCAATCACCTCAGCTCTCCATCCCTGTATGTTGCAAAAGCTTAGAACTCCATGTATCTTCCCTTCATGTCACCCCTGCAATAATTTTTATTTGTGTGATTATTTAAATAAAGTACATGTGTTTCAATAGTGGTCTGTAAGATCATGAAAGCCCAGGCCATATTTGTTTTGCTTGATTGGTTATTGCTTGCTTAATAATAGTTTTCCATTTGGTGACTGACATGAGATAGACACTCAGTAAATATCTGACAGTTGTGTGAACAAATGAATTATCAGAGAGCCAGTGGGGTGAGTATGCCCAGTCACATAGTTATAAGGACTTAGGTTGTCATCCCTTTGCTGGGTTTCTTATTCTCTGAAAGAGGCTGGCATCCTTGCTTCCAGTGGTCATTTGAGCCCAGGAACACCAGAATCTAATGACAGATGAGCCGCAGTGTGAGGCTGTTACAATGGTATTTGTCTTACCACTCACCTGAGAGCTCCTGAAGGGAGAGGCATGGAATCCAATTTGTTCCCCTTTAGTGGAAAGTGACAGCAGGAATATAATCTGCTGTCACACATGGCCCCTTGACATTCTTATCTCCTGGTGCAGAGTCCAAGCCCAGAGGCCTGTCCCAACATCAGGAGGTCCTGGGGACGTCACATTTGATTGGAGTATTCCATGCCTTTGTCTTCAGGAGCTGTCACGTGCATGTTAAATCTAATACCTGACTGTATCATGTAAATTATGATCTATTATATAATTATATGTAAAATACCTTACCTAACACCCTAATAGCCTGACTCTGTAATGGAAGCCTTACTGAGGCACTAGTCCAAACATAATACACAGAGAACATTCCATGAATGGAGAATGAAGAATCCTATCATGGGAAAAAAAATGCAGCAAGACAGACAGCAGACATCAAGAGAGTTAGAAATTGGAAGGCTTTTATGTAAATGGTCTCGATCCAGGGCAACTAAAGGGAAGTGATGAAGACCAGACATAATGGGCAAGGCAAGGTAGACTCAGTAATGGCAGCCAAAAGTTGTATTCTTCCCAGCAGTGTGAGTGTCTGCTCTCTCAGTGGAGACTGAAGTAGAGTTTGCTGAAGGTGTGAATTTCCCCTGTCCTCTTGCAAAAGATGGCCTCTACTCACTCTGTTGCCGCAAAGTACATTAAACTTGTTTCTCTCCCTCTTCCCTCATGTCCACCTCCGCCTCTAATGAAAACTGCCTTCCATGTTTTATTCCATGGATAACCTCGGTACCCTTGCTATTTCCCAAAGATACTGGTTTCAAAAGAGGGCTCTTTCCCCATGCCCACACCTAGGGCTGGCTTCCCCACAACTCTGTTGAAAACCTAGGAGTGGAAACTAACTGGAAACAGAAGAGAAATTCATCAGTCCACTTTGGTTGTTTAAATGAAGGACATGTCAGCAAGAATAGTTGACATTTATATTTATTAGTGAAGGGAATTCAAGTAAGTGCATGATGTCTGGGCTTGTGGATATTTATTTTGTAATTTTGAATGGAATTTCTCTTTTCACCCGAGGGGAGAATTTGTGCCTGTGTACTAACCGAGAGTCCACTGCCGTGGGCCCCACACACAATGCTTGGCTGGGCATAGAGCAGAGGAGTAGGTCACACAGATTCATAGGATTTGAACTGCTTTTCTTTTCCCTGTGAATTAATCTTTTAAATGTCAACATTTTAAACTTGGCCTTTTCAAAAAATATGATACCATATGAACCCAACTTAATCGAAAATACATCTCCAGTTCAAAGGTTTTTGTTGTTTTTGTTTTCTGAAAGTGGAAGGGCTAACAACAACAGCAACAAATTGTTAAAGGGGGGACTGTGTGCGGGGGAAGCTGGTTTTTATCAACCGGGTCTAAGCAACTTTGTTCCTTAAGAATCTAAACTCTTGTTCTGAAGCCCATTTCTTTTTTTACAGGTCTGGGATGTTACAGTGCAGAATGTATCTTTTTCTGCCTACCCACAGCACGTTTGAAATCATACAATTTCAATTACTCTTTAAAAGGACATTGTAGGTCTTTTACAGCTATGTTGATATATAGTCATGTATTTTTTTTGTAGCATGTTTCAGATTACTAATACATCTGCAATTACCTGCTTTCTTCTTCTTTTTTTTTTTTTTTTGAGACAGATTTTTACTCTTGTCGCCTAGGCTGGAGTACAATGGCACATTCTCCGCTCACTGCAACCTCCAGCTCTCGGGTTCAAGCGATTCTCCTGCCTCATCCTCCCAAGTAGCTGGGATTACAGGCACCCACCACCATGCCCTGCTAACTTTTTTTGTATTTTTAGTAGAGATGGGGTTTCATCATGTTGGCGAGGCTGGTCTTGAACTCCTGACCTCGGGTGATCCACCCACCTCGACCTCCCAAAGTACTTGGATTACAGGCGTGTGCCACCATTCCGGGCCACATGTTTTTTACAACAACCCTTTAAGACAGATATTATTAAGCCCAACTCATAGATATGTCACTGAGACTGAAGGAGCTGAATGACTTGCATAAAGTCATCCAGCTTGTTTATGGCACATGAGAATTCATGCCCAGGGGATCCTTATTGCCCACAGTGCTATACTCTCTCTGTAATGAATGATCTGAAAGTCCAGAAAGTGGGTTAGAATCCCAGGACCACCACTTACTAGCTGTGTTAACCTTGAACGAGTGATGACATCTTTTTTGACTTCAGTGTCTTCATCTGTAAAGTAGGGGAAGACTGCCTACCCCTCTCTCCAGACTAGACTAAGAATCTGTGAAGAATAGCATGAGATCATTTTGATAGTTTGAAATGCTAAAGCATAAAAGAATTAACCATTATTATCTTAACTAATAAGAGGGCTGAGTCCAGTGTTATATCAGATATCAGACAAGGTGTCTTCCATCCTTCCTATCATACGATTAGGGCACAGGAAATAATGAGGGGGATTTGGGTTGAGGGGTGGTCCATGACCTTGTCAGTACAAGTCAGTAAGTTGTGTGTGTACACCTTTTATCTTTGTGGGTGCTGTTACCAAAGCCTTTGGAGGAATTGAGTATCATGTTGCAACCGATAAGCACTATTAATTTTCAAACCCCTGAAACTTACAGTAGTTGGTGTCCTTCAGATTTGGAGTGTATCCATCACAGCAAACGCTTGCCTGCCAGGGAATGTCACAGGGATTCTGTCAAAGGCAGGCAGATGCTCCTAGCTAATAGGAGTGAGCCAGGGCTGCCATCATGCCTGAGCCGGGGACTAGCCCAAGCCTCAGTCCCCAGTCACCAAGGCAGGAACAGCCGGAAACTGACTCCTTCCCTCTGACATTGGGCTGTTTTTCAGGGTGACGTTCAGCGGACACTTATCCAAGTGGACTTCGGCGATGGTATCGCGGTGTCTTACGTGAATCTCAGCTCCATGGAAGATGGGATCAAACACGTCTATCAGAACGTGGGCATTTTCCGTGTGACCGTGCAGGTGGACAACAGTCTGGGTTCTGACAGCGCCGTCCTGTACTTACATGTAACTTGTATGTCATTACTGTTGTTGGTTTATGACCTCTCTTAAATAGTGTCCTTTTCAAATTGAATTCAGAATTTTATATCTAGAAGAGGTACACTAGTTATCTTTTAGCAGAAGGGGAATGGGGAAGAAACAAGTAAGAGAAGAAAATCAAAGAGTAGAATTTGAATAATCCTGGACTCTGGATTGCACTGACTCTGCCTCCCCTGGGGTTTGGAGGCTGGGTCTGAGCAACCTGCAGAACTGTTTGGTTGAAACAAAGAAATTTGGTTGGGGGGTGGGTGTCAGAAATTGTTGAAAGCAATTCCACATGCACCACTCAATCCAATGCATTGAGAATTAGCACAAGTAAAGACATTTCTCCTTATCTGATTATTTCTGTCTTCTCATAATATGTTGCTATAATCCTTTTAGAGTTTTGCTAATAATCCTTTTAGAGTTTTGCTCCTCTTTTTTTTTTAATGTGTTTCCTGGGCTTCTGTCTGTGGATGACTTCATGTTAGAGAGAAAGTGGTGTAAAGAGAGAGTATAAAAACAGTGTTTAGGCCGGGAGTGGTGGCTCACACCTGTAATCCCAACACTTTGGGAGGCCAAGGAGGGCCGATCACGAGGTCAAGAGATCGAGACCATCCTGGCCAACATGGTGAAACCCTGTCTCTACTAAAAATACAAAAATTAGCTGGGCGTGGTGGCATGTGCCTGTAGTCCCAGCTACTTGGGAAGCTGAGGCAGGAGAATTGCTTGAACCTGGGAGGTGGAGGTTGCAGTGAGCCGAGATCACACCACTGTACTCCAGCTTGGTGCCTGGCAACAGAGCTAGACTCTGTCTCAAAAAAAAAAAAAAAAAAAATGTGTTAAGGAAACTATGGTAGGAAACAGTTCAAAGAAATGCTAAAGCTTTTCCCCCATGGAGGATTCTAAAGCTATGAGTGAGTATGATGAGACAATAATAACTTCTAAGTGATGTGTGCTTAAAACATGTGTCATTAATATGTTAGGTGTAAGGGGTTTCCCTGTCATCGAACTTGTGTTGGTTACTAAGGAAATTGTTTCTTTTAAATGAAAGTAGCTCCTTTGTATGAATGGCCTTGTTCAAATATCAAGTTTTAGTCCACGAGTCTTAAGGCCAGGCAATATGACTCTATGCTTCTCTTCTGGAACAAAACTGCCCATGGAGCAAAATTGAGTACAGAAAGTATCAATTAGAACATTTTCTGTTTTAGCTGCTGTGGTCCAGTGAGAGGGCAAGACTATTAAGAGATGACCAAGAGATGTATTGCTTGTTCAGTCTTTCTAACGTGTCTGTAATTCTGATCTCTGTCTCCTGAACTCTCATGACAGAGGTGTTTCAAAGAAACATGCACTCCCTTATTTGGTTCTAAACAAAGTTGCACATGATTCTCTGTATGCCAACTCAGTCTGCCCATTTTTGGCTACGGTTTACAGTATATTCCAGGCGTTGTGTGCTAAACAGGCTCTTAATGTATATTATCTCACTTCTCAAAATGGTCCTGTGAAGTAGGCACTATTAGTCACCCTATTTACGAAAAGTGTTGAGGTTCAGAGAGCTTAATTACTTGTTTGAAGTGGTGGACCGACTGCCTAGCAGAGCCAGGCTCCGGACTCAGGCCCACCTGCCGCAAGGACCATAGCTCTTAATAACTAAGGTCAGTGTCAGTACCAAGAGTGGTTTGGGAATGAAGGAACTGTCTCCCTCAGCTTTTACCATCTGTTCCCTACTGTTTACAGATCATCTTGAAGAAACATAAATGTTTTGGTTAGAGGCAATGTGCTTGTTATACAACTACATAGGTTAGGACTCATCATGTGGGCTCCCTTCCATCTAACTGCCATCCCTAAGTCATCCTATATGGGCTTCCACTTACTTAGACGTGTCACCTACAAAGACATACCACCTCCCTATACGTTAGTATGTAGGGAAATGACAGTGATGGTATCACAGAAATGATCATCTTTAAATCTTTAACAATACCTCACTAACATTAACGATTAGTAGCAAAAATAACTTGCAGTAAAAATGATGGCACATTTGCCGAGAATGGCTCCTACCTAGATCGTATCATGCCTCACAGCTTATTCTGTAAGGGGGAATTTAGCTGGAGAGCTAGCTTCATTACAGATTATACTCGTGTTCTGTATACCACAAATTGGTCATACATCTACCATGTAAATACTGATTTAAAAGCTAGTATCAGCTTCTGATAAATTTTTCAGCGTATCCCATTAATACCATAGCTTTACCTCCTTGTCACTCTGCAGGCTTTCTCTCATTCCTGTGTGTGTGCTCATACGCCTGGAGGTGTCTATTGCCCCCTGCAAGACTCCTCCCTCGTTAAGGAAGTCCTCGAAAGGAGAACAACATGGAGATTGTCCCTGCCCAAGATTACTGGCTGCAGAAACCGTGACTTCTAAAAGAAAACAGTTTCTGCATTCATTTGCAATTCTTTGATTTCATTAGCCTAGTTGATTGGACAAAATATTTGACCTTAACCTTAGAGGAAGATACTTTGTAATGGAATGTTTCGTATTCTGACTTTAATTTGGTAGACTCATCTTGGGTTAAGTGGTTGGATAAGCATCCCGCATATATCGGATCTTCTTTCTAAGCCTGGGTCTTTGGTACTCATTGTGTTGAAAGCCATCGTGTTTGAAGCTGTTTGCTCACTCACATACATCTAAAAGTCATGTCATACCTGTTTCAGCAGATTCTGACATGCTTGGTTAGCACCTCCCTCCTAAAGGAGCCAGGGTGCTTTGCTATGCACACAAACTCATTTTGCTCATCTTTACATCTATCCCATAATAGACTTCTGGCCTTTTCTTTCAGATGGAAATCAAGGATTGAAGAAGCACTGTGACTCTGGTATCACTTTATGCTCAAAGGAAGTCGGAACAAGAACATAATTGAGTCACACTCTCAGGCGTCTTAAAGCTGGAGGGTGTCATGAGTGACTATTTGGCGCCCAAGTGCCATGATATGGCAGTGAGAGGTGGCTTTATAGGGGGAAAAAAGCACTGGACTGAGTCAGGCATTCTGACTCGGTCCAGATTTTGGTTCAAACTCCTGGGAAAGTCATGCTATCTCTCTGAGCCTAGATTTTCTCCTCTGTCAAGTAGATGCACATCTCATTCCCGAAAGTCCCAACAAACAAAATATGTGGTACCCTGGCATCTAGTAAAACTTGATTTTTCTGTCATCACAAAGTAGCATATACATTTGGACTTACTGGATTTTGAGGGAGAGCAGAATTAGCAACTCTTAGCTCCCCAAGCCTGTCTTCTGCCCCTCGTCCATTCCTACCCTCTGGGGCAATCCTGAAAGCCCTTTGCCTGTCTCTCACACACACATTCCTACCAATCTCCAGTGCAGAAAGGTGATTTGATTCCAAACCAGAAGATTTGAAAAAAAGGTGTGTTTGCAGAGGTCATCTGAAACAAAGGGAGCCGATGTTCCTGTGTAGCGTTTCCAGCAGTGGGCCAGTCTTGCCGGGCGCCTGGTAATCTGTTGTAGCCTGACAGTTGGAAATTCCTTGGGGATAGTATTCACTGGCTCTGCTAGTTTGCAAACTAATGAGACACGTGCTACAGCCAGTGTTGGTTTCAGTTGGATGGGGCAGAGGATTTACAGAGCATGCAGATTTATGCTCAGAAGGCTGCCCTGTCGCAGCCAGTCTTGCAGGAAAAAAAAGTCATTGAAGACTGCAGACTTGCAGAACCGGAAGTGAAAAAAAAAACCAAAAAGATAAGACAGATCTTCTAGTCCTTCCTAACCCGTTTTTCTTGGCTGTTCCCTTACATAGGAGCCATGTATAGGTGTCTTTCTGGCCCCATCTTAAGAGTAAAATGATCCATGTTGCTTGAAAACTCACATAGTTTTTCAGCTATTTATACCATCATTTTATTGTCCAGCAGACGTCAGACTAGGATTTTGTAAAGTGTGATTTAATGAGCAGCCTGCCCCAAAATTAAATAATAAAAATATGTGTTTTAGGTCTTGTTCCAGACCACCGAATTAGGATTCCTGGAAGTATGACCTCATAATCTGCTTTGATCAGATTAGTATGATTTGTAGGTACAGTGAAGTGTGAGAAACTGTTTTAGGGTCTCAGCTTTATAGTTTGAATCACTCTTATCTCTTCTAGTAGCTTTTTTAAACATTGCAGACGAATAGCAATATGATATATACACAATATTTAATTAGGTGCTCAAAGGTCTCCAGAACATAAATGCTGCAGACAGGCCAGCAGCCAGTACACACAGACACACACACACACACACACACACACACACACACACACACACACACACAGTGTGCAGCCTCACAGGTGTCAGTTGTTTCCTGCAGCACAGGAGGGCTATAAACAAGAAAAGAGAAGGGAAACCCAATTCACACAAGTAATTCCCCAATTCTCTCAACCACCTTTTCAGGAAGATTCATGTAGAATGATGCAGCGCCACCTACTGTCCCTTTTTTGCATTGCAGGCACCTGTCTGATGGAGCTGCATCTGCCAGTCAGCTCTCTGCTTAAATGCAGCCAGCTGGGGGCCTCCGGGGGTTGGAGTTTCACCTCTGCAGCTCCATTAGGGCATACTGCACCCTCTGTGATGAACAGAGATGGTCAAAGAATAGGCTTTTGGATAGTAGAATCCAGGTATTTTAAACCTGTGAAAAGTAAATGAATAAGAGGCTGTGGGAATCTAAAAGATACAGTTCATATGTGTATGCATATATAATGTATATGCATGTAAGCGTGAACTTATACAAACACACACATACATATTTTAGGGGCTTCGAGGCCAACATACTATGTGTCTTGAATTTCTCTTAGAAAATTCATCATTGGTCGGGTGCGATGGCTCATGCCTGTAATCCCAGCACTTTAAGAGGTTCAGGCCAGATCACCTGAGTTCGGGAATTCTAGATCGGCATGGCCAACATGGTAAAACGCTGTATCTACTAAAAATACAAAAATTAGCCAGGCGTGATAGTGGGTGCCTGTAATCCCAGGTACTCGGGAGGCTGAGGCAGGGGAATCACTCGAACCTGGGAGGCAGAGGTTACAGTCAGCCGAAACTGCACTACTGCACTCCAGTCTGGGCGACAGAGCGAAACTCCATCTCAAAAAGAAAAATCATTGACCAAAATGGGGTTATGTGAAAATAAAAAATTTCTCAAACATGGCAAGCTCCCCTCTTCCTCATGGTCTTTGCACTTACTCTACCCTCACCCTGGAACTTTCCAAATAGACACTTGGTGCTATCTTTCTCCTTATTCAAGTTGCTGCTCAGATGCCATTTCTTCTGAGGCCTTCTGTGACCACGCTTTCAAAACTAGCACTTCATCACCTACCTCTGCTTTATGCGTTCAGTGCCCTCCTCACTCAGAAACACCTAAGCTCCACCAAATGTCAGATATCCCCAGCACCTAGAATAATACCCAACAGATCACAGGACTCAAAATCTATTGAGTGGAGCCTGGGTGCAGTGGCTCAAACCTGTAATCCCAGTACTTTGGGAGGGTCACAAGGTCAGGAGTTCAAGACCAGCCTGGCCAACATGGTGAAACCCCATCTCTACTAAAAATACAAAAATTAGCCAGGTGTCAAAAATTAGGTGTGGTGGTGCACACCTGTAGTCCCGGCTACTAGGGAGGATGAGGAGAATTGCTTGAACCCAAGAGGTGGAGGTTGTAGTGAGCCGAGATCGCATCACTGCACTCCAACCTGGGTAACAGAGCGAGACATTGTCTCAAAAAAAAAAAAAAAAATCCTGAGTTAATGAATTACCATGTTTTACTAACAATATTCAACTTTTTTTCATTGATACAATAACATATAAGCATTTTTCTTACTCTGGTTTGTGACTTTTAAAAAAATGCTTGTATGTAAGAGACAAAATGAACCTCTTTAGAATGGAACCTAGCATTTCTAGCACAGCTTATCTAGACATTATATTCTAATGGATTAATTTAACTCAGATGGAGGGACTCAGGGAGAATTTCAAAGAGGAGGGGATGCTGGAACTGAGACCTGAAGACTGACAGGTGCCATAAGAAAGGTGTGTAGAAGCAAAGGCTATGAGGTGGACCAGGACATGGCTCACTGGAACAAACCATTGGATGGGAAAATGGCAAAACTTGTAATAAATGAAAGCAAGTGGAAAGTTCATTTTCCAACCGATGCCTGGGACATATTTACCTTATCAGAAAGCAGCAAAGCAGCAACTCTTTTTTTTTTGAGACAGAGTCTCACTCTGTCTCCAGGTGCCAGGCTGGAGTGTAGTGGCATGATCTCGGCTCACTGCAACCTCCACCTCCCACGTTCAAGCAATTCTCCTGCCCCAGCCTCCCAAGTAGCTGGGACTACAGGTGCATGCCACCAAGCCTAGGTAATTTTCTTATTTTCAGTAGAGATGGGGTTTCATCATGTTGGCCAGGATGGTCTCGATCCGCCCGCCTTGGCCTCCCAAGTGCTGGGATTACAGAAAGCATCAACTCTTAACAGCTACTTAGTTAAAAGAGGACTGGAAAGGCTCTTTCAATCACTTTTTATCTGGCCAGAACAAGGGCTCTGAAACCAAACTGCTTTGTTTCACACCGTAGAATTGATGTTTCCTAGCTGTATGACCTGGGGAAAGTCACCTTACATTGTTCATTTCTAGATGGGAAGGATATTAGTGCCTACTTCATAAGATTGTTTTGTGAGGATAAAATAAGAAAAACAGAGTCCTTAGCAGAACATTTAGTTATAGTCATCACTCAGTAAATGTTACCCTTTTATTATTTCATTGAACTGTTCTGACTTATAATCTACTGCTTCTCAACATAAGCTTTGTAAGCCAGAAGATCAGTTTTATTCTGTGTGCTGATCACCAGACTTTTCATTCTAGAAAGAGGGAGTAGCATGAACAAAGGCAGACATAGAAAGTTACATCATTTGTTTTACCCAGTGAGTAGTTGAGCATCTCCTATGTCTTAGAAACTGCTAGTCTTTGTGTGTGAAGATAAATATGAAGAATTATTACCCTCAAGACATTTTCAGCCTCTCTCTTCTGTCTCACAAATTTTAAATCAGTATGTGTTAGCTACCATCATTATCATAATTGGATCATGGGAATCTTTTTGTTTTCTTTTTTTTTGAGGTGGAGTCTTGCTCTGTTGCCCAGCTGGAGTACAGTGGTGCAATCTCGGCTCACTGCAACCTCCACCTCCCAGGTTCAAGTGATTCTCCTGCCCCAGCCTCACGAGTAGCTGGGACTACAGGCATGAGCCACCACACCCAGCTAATTTTTATATTTTTAGTAAAGATGGGGTTTCACCATGTTGGCCAGGATGGTTTCGATCTCTTGACCTTGTGATCCACCCGCCTCAGGCTCCCAGAGTGCTGAGATTACAGGCATGAGCCACTGCGCTTGGCCAGATCATGGAAATCTTAATTTTGAACAAGTATGAGTAACATGATCAACTTGGCTATGTAGAAAAATCACTGTTGCAGCTATTTGGAGGATAGATTCGAGTGAGGAAAGGTTAGAGGCAGGAAAATCTGGAAGGGAAGTGAGAAAGGTGCTTAGAATATGTACCAGGACGCCAGACAGCGGAGGGTGAGATAAATAATATCTTAGAGATATTTATGAAGCTAGATTGTTAGTTTCCTAAATGAATGTGAATGACAAAGAAGAAATTGAAATAGATTCTGTTTCTGCAGTGGGCCCTGGATAAATATGAGCGTTAATCACCAAACGGTAGAGAATATGGGAGAGGGAAATAACAGGTCCTTGAGAACATTTGACTTCTGGAGCCGAAGAAGTCTAGAGCCCATCAGAAAGGGTAGAGCCCAGAAAGGGGTGTGAGAGCCCTGCACATATGTTTGATATTTGAAGGTTAAGGTGTGGGTGGTGGTGCCTAGTGGAAGAGTATGTAGAGTCTCAACACAGGATTCTGGGAAACACATTTAAAGGGCAAGCAGAAGAAGAGGTAATTAAACTGGGTGAATAGGCCCAAGGTATTGCTCTCTCCTCCACCTCATGGGACCAAGATGGGGATGGCAAATGCGTAGGAACCTGCATTTTGCCTGGAAACAGTGACCCATAGAGAAGATTGGGGGTCAAAGGAAAGGTCCTAGTGGTTCTTTATGAAGGGGGCATTCGTATCTTTGAATAGGGTTGGCACATCTAATTGAGGTTTACAGTTTTTATAGGCCTCCGTAGATAAAAATCATTCTGCATTTTAGATGAGCATCTCCTGAGAACCAAAGAGCTCTCTATCTGCTCTCATACACCTCTGTCCTCAATGAGCTCAATTCAACCCCAAACACAGTGTGTGTGCCGTGCTTACCTAACTAGACGGTTTTGCAGACACATGCACGAACACATTTACACATACATAGACCTTTAAAACCCAATAGACATTTTGGGAGGCCGAGGCGGGTGGATCACAAGGTCAAGAGATCGAGACCATCCTGGTCAACATGGTGAAACCCCGTCTCTACTAAAAATACAAAAAATTAGCTGAGCATGGTGGTGCGTGCCTGTAATCCCAGCTACTCAGGAGGCTGAGGGAGGAGAATCGCCTGAACCCAGGAGGTGGAGGCTGCGGTGAGCCGAGATTGCGCCATTGCACTCCAGCCTGGGTAACAAGAGCGAAACTCCGTCTCAAAAAAAAAAAAAAAAAACCCAATAGACAATGAAGGGTAATTACATGGAGAGTGGTTTGAAGATTTGTCCACCCACTCTTCACCAACATGGATTCTATGAGGTCTTTACGACTCTGGTTCACTGCCGAGGATATAGCCTGTTGGAAAGATTACATCTCCTTGTGAAATCTCAGATGATGCCTGTTACTTGAGGACTTCCTAAATTACCTCTAATTATTTTTTTAACTTTTCCACACAGCTCACTCAGGTTTTAGAACTGGTAAGTGGAAAATGTCAAGATGCAGTTGTGCTCAGTGTATTCTTTCTCCAAAAGTAGGGGAGCATCTGCGCCCTTCTTTCAGGGAATATGGCAGCCAGGTTTTGGAGGCTTCAAGAGTAAATGTGTGTTCTCTTCAGAGCAGGGAGGACAGAGCAGAGGAAGCTCTTCCCCTCCATGGCCTCTCTTTCTTTTGTGCCTCAGGTCCCTTGGAGCATGTGCACCTGTCTCTTCCCTTTGTCACCACAAAGAACAAAGAGGTCAACGCGACGGCAGTGCTGTGGCCCAGCCAAGTGGGCACCCTCACTTATGTGTGGTGGTACGGGAACAACACGGAGGTGAGTCACCTTCCACATGCGGTCTAGGTATGGAAAGTCACATCACACCGCCTAAGCAGAGAAGGGAATGAAATGGCTTATAAACCCAAGAGTGTCGGGCAGTCCTGGCTTCAAAGACAAGCTCCCTTGGTGCTCAAGTATCTTATCATTATTTTATCTCTCTCTCTCTCTGGCCCTTCTCCACCTCCTGAATTTCATCTCTGCCTTCCTCTATGTGGACGTTTTTCCCCAGCTGCACTTCTCTTTGCAGTGACTCTTGGCAGTTCTAGCTTAGCAGAGAAATTAAACTCTATTTTCTGAAGGTTGTAACAACAGTCCTGAAATTAAGTCTTATTGACCAGGCCTTGATCACAGTGCTAGGGGTGGAGAGGGAGGTGAGCAACTCAGTTTCCTCAGAACCACATGAACTGCAGAAGGGGAGAAGGGAGACCGAAAGAACACAAAGCAACTGGGGCTGGACACGGTGGCTCATGCCTGTAATCCCAGAACTTTGGGACGCCGAGATGAGTGGATCACAAAGTCAGGAGGTTGAGACCATCCTGGCTAACCTGATGAAACCCCGTCTCTACTAAAAATACAAAAAATTAGCCAGGTGTGGTGGCACACACCTGTAGTCTCGGCTACTCAGGAGTCTGAGGCAGGAGAATCGCTTGAACCTGGGAGTCGGAGGTTGTAGTGAGCCAAGATCACGCCACTGCACTCCAGCCTGGGCAACAGAGCGAGACTCCATCTGGAAAAAAAGAAAAAAAGAAAAAAAGAGCAACAAAAAAATGAAGCTGCCGGTTGCTAGACAGGCACAAGTGACAGATTTCCATCCATTACGACCCACCCCAATGACCTCCTCACCCCAAATCAAACCTCTTACTTATTTAGGTCGGCTTTAACTTTCATGCTTTTTTCCCAAATATTCCCTATGCTCAAAAGTCAGTGGCAATTTTAAATCTCGCAGAGCCCTCACACCTCATTTAATGTAAGTCCTTCATTTTGCACATGAGGAAAGTGAGGGTGACGCAGCTGGAGCGGTTTCCTTTGATCTCTTCCCGCTACTTCATAAGAGGCCAAATGTAAGGCCTTCTGATGCCTCCATTCATTTTTCTTTCCTCTGCACCAGGCTGCATGGTCTATTTCAGTTTTGAACTCATTCCATTCTCAGAAATTAAAGTGCTTCCAAATGTAAGTAAGACAATAGAGCTGAAGTCCCAAAAGACACTGGGATGAACTGCTCTGGACTGAAACGCTCCATCTTCTTCCAGCAGAGCTGCCTTCACATGATGACTGCTCTTTAAATGTGATGTTTCTTATTTTAATAAAAACGTTTTTCTACTCTGGAGCTGAAACTTGGCTTTAGCTGGAGACATAATTTTGCACAGGCCCAGGAGGAAGCCTCCCCTGAACCTCAACAGAGGAAAGAACCTCTCACCTCTACTGCAACCATAACTAGGCTGAAAAGAGGCTCTTTTTTATTTCATCTGAAAATATGCATGTTAATTCAGCCCACATGGGGCTTTCTATCCACAGTGGAAGAGAAGGAATCTACATCATTTCCCTGATAAGCAGTACTAGAAGGTGAAAGTACTGAACAACTTTCTTTTGTATCTCTTATTATCAGTTTTTATCTTTCCTTTTAGAAGAAAACCAGATTCTCAAGGGACCCACCGAAAAGGTTTCCCATGCTGGGCTTTAGTCTTCTATCTGCCTTATAGAGAATTAAATGAATTTTGATTTTTAAATTAATTAAGAAAAGATGGGAAATTAATGTTTGAGGAGTATGTCGAGGGAGGTCAGTAGGCTAATATTTTTTCCTCTAGGACCCCAGCATTCAACTGTATTGCAGGCATCACTCCAATTTTTTTTTCTTCTGTTTTGAATCCTCAAACCACTATCCAATTAGTACTTGTTTCCACAGCAGCAGCTACTTCCAGGAAACTGCTGATGGGGCTTCTCAGAGAGGGCCAGCACACAAGGCCACTGCTGTTTAACTACTGTATGGCTTTGGTGTATGGGATTCATGTTCCATTGTAATTCTACAGAAATCCCACACCCTGGAGATGAACACCTGACAGCTGATAGATTTTCAGTGACTGCTGCTTCAATCTGGATTCATATAAGCCCCCTGTTCTCATTTGATTTGACTGTTTCCTTGTATTTGGGATCTGCTTATATGAGTAGGTTATGCAGAAAGAGAGACATATATCCCACCAGCAAGCAAGACTTACCCATCTCCCCAGCCCTGAATCAGGTTGATACCAGGAATTCACAATGAATAGGCAGGCTTGCTGGGAGTCATTGCTCCAATAACCTCTTTTCTGTTTTGGATTTGAGAGGATGGGGAGGTATAGGTGGACTCAGTTCCATTGTGGTCCATCAGGAAGAGGCTCTCCTGAGTTAGAGGACAGCCCATTGTTGGCTCAGAGTTGGTGGCTGTCTCAACTCTAAATAGCTTTCCTTTCACTCTGGGCCCTTGTTTGTTTTAGCCTTTGATCACCTTGGAGGGGAGCATATCCTTCAGATTTACTTCAGAAGGAATGAATACCATCACAGTGCAGGTCTCAGCTGGGAATGCCATCCTACAAGACACAAAGACCATCGCTGTATACGGTGAGTGCCCATCTCATGGATCCACAGCTGTCCTTGTGCTCAGAGGAGGTTCTCTTGTGCCATGATGCCTGAGACCATCCCCCAGCATTATATTTTACCTGGAGAATGGAGGCCAGTAGCTGAGAAAGAGCTGAGGCAAGTCTTATGTCCTCCTCTAGGGAAATTTGAATCACTAGTAAAACAGTGTCACAGAATCCAAAAACGGCTTGATTTGCTTTCTTTGAGGGAGAGGGACTGTATACTTGCTCATAAAGTGGATTTTATGACGTGTGAGGCTAACTCATTTCACTTAGAATGTTAGTGGTATTTGAATACCAGTTACAAATTAAAATAGCTAATGTTGAATCTCTTTTTAAAGTTCAACTTTAAAATTCTTGATTAATAAGAGAAATCTGCCATTGTCTAAATACTTGAAAAATCTCTTCCACAAATCTGTATCATTAAAAAAAAATCACTGGTAGATTCAGAGTTATGGAAGAGTCATAATGATCAGATGTGGTGCATAGCCATAGGCTGGATCTATAAAGAACAATTTTGTGATCAGTTGGGGAAATTGAATATGGTCAGGGTATTAGATGGAATGAAAATGTCCTGAAATGAAAAGATGGAGTCATTGAAAACTGGAAAGAAAAAAGCACTTGATGGATTGATTTCATATTGGTAAATTTTTTTTGTATAGAAAGATAGTCATTTGGATATGCATTAAGTGTTACTAGTACATTATTAGTATGGAAATGGCACATATGATTCCTGAAAAAATAGCGTTTGAAATATGAGAAGTGAAAATTAGACAGATGGGAAAAGGAAATGCTGTGCAGAGAGAGGAGGCAGAAGAAGGGAGGAAGGAAGGATGAGAAAGAGAGCAAGAGAGGTCAGGCACAGAGGCTCACATCTGTAATCCCAGCACTGGGAGTCCGAGGCAGGTGAATCACCTGAGGTCAGTGGTTTGAGACCAGCCTGACCAATTTGGGGAAACCCCATCTCCACTAAAAATACAAAATTTAGCCGGGCATGGTGGTGCATGCCTGTAATCCCAGCTATTTAGGAGGCTGAGGCAGGAGAATGGCTTGCACCCAGGAGGCAGAGGCTGCACTGAACCAAGATCACACCATTGCACTCCAGCCTGAGCAATGAGAGCAAAACTCCATATCAAAAAAAAAAAAAAAAAAGCGAGAGACAGCCTAGCTTGTGTTCCAAATAATATCAATTGTCCAGTTCTCATAATTTTTATGAGAATACCTGGGACTAGATTTTCCTGTGAGGAGTCAGGTTCTGTTAATGCTCATGTTCCCAAGTTGACCTTCTAAGTCAGAAAATAATTTGTAAGCAACTTGAAGCACATCTAAAGATCAAAAGGCCTTAGGGACACTTTCCTTTGATGGCTGGGTGTTAGATTTTATAATTTCTTCTCTCTCTTTTACTCTTGAAAGGCTTGATCAGCCCAGATAATAGGAAGTAAGCCAGGGCCATGATTTTCCTCACAGTGTCCCATCAGGGAGGGAGTGGGGCAGAGTCTGCTTCTCTTCCGTTCTCCATCTCCTTTCTGTGTGCTGGGAATGCATTTATTCTGCCTAGTGTATGGCAGGCAGTATTATGATCCCCGTTTTTTCAGAGTGGTGAATAACCTGCCCCAGCTAGCATGTCGTGCAGCTGGGCTTGCATCCCAGCCCCTCTAGACTCAGGGCCTATGCACTGCAACCATCCTACTTAACTGACTCTCATTTATTTCCACTTGATGCTTTTTTTTCCCCTTTCTCTCCATCTCAGATGTCACAAGTTGCACAAATGGACGCTGACCTATTAGCCCAACAGATATCCTCTTGGTTATGCATGTTGGTGATGCCATTAGGATCATGGAGATAACCTTAAATCTTGGCCTTATCTGGTCTAGCCCATCATTCTTTATAGATGGAAATTATGGCCCAGACATAGGGAATTGCTGCTTAAAGTCATCTGCTCATTGGTGACAGATATGGTAATAACAGTGTTGTTGGTGGTAGTAATTAACACTGATGAAGACTTTACTGGTCACTGGCATCTGTTCTAAGCACTTGGTATATGTGATCTGCTTTATTAAATCCATTCAGATATATGGGAAATATTCTATGATTATGCATTTTACAGATGAGGAAACATAAACAGAGCCTAAGGATTCTGAATCCAGAGGGCATGTTTGTAAGAACTCGCATGCCTTGCTATGCTTACTTCCTCTTTCGTAGTTTCTTTAAAGGCATCGTGGCCGGGCGCGGTGGCTCACGCCTATAATCCCAGCACTTTGGGAGGCCAAGGTGGGTGGATCATGAGGTCAAGAGATCGAGACCATCCTGGTCAACGAGGTGAAACCCCATCTCTACTAAAAATGCAAAAATTAGCTGGGCATGGTGGCACGTGCCTGTAGTCCCAGCTACTCGGGAGGCTGAGGCAGGAGAATTGCTTGAACCCAGAAGGCGGAGGTTGCAGTGAGCCGAGATCGTGCCACTGCACTCCAGCCTGGGTAACAACAGCGAAACTCCGTCTCAAAATAAATAAATAAATAAAGGCATCACCCAAGAGTGAATCACCCTTTATAAAAATAGGTTATTCCACATCTCTTCATTAAGAGATTGGACAAGGTTCTCCTCCTTTTCTAATCAAATTCCTGTACCCTCAGCTACTGTTAATTTGTCTTCATTCAGATGAGTTATCCAGAGATTCATCTACATAATCGGAAAGTTGGGGGGTGTTTCCCTATGTTGCCCAGGCTGGTCTCAAACACCTGGCCTCAAGGGATCCTCCCTCCTCAGCCTCCCAAAGTGCTGAGAAACAGGCATGAGTCACCACACCTAGCTCCATGATCAGACAGTTTTAATGACAGGCGTGACTCCTTGAACAAAAGTTGCACCAGGCAAAGATAAACAGGAAAGATTAAACCCAAGTGAAAGAAATGGCAGGAATATTTGTAAATGCTGGGATAGCTAGTGGGAAAATACCGGAGGACTTCAGGAAGCATTTGGGTTTTCGGTGTGATTAGACCATCTGTGAGTTAATAGCTACTTAGGGAAGTCAGTCTCCTACCCTCCCGTGGAGAAGGGAGGGGTGCTATGTTTCTTGATGATTATATTTCAAAGGAATGGCTCCCAGGTCCTGGAGAAAGACATTCATGAGTTGTAGAAGATTTACATCTCAAGGGACAGAGAAGGAATTTACAGTTGTAAGTTTTCTAGACTAAATGCTCTAAGAAAATCAAGTACAGGGGCTTACAGTCAGGAAAAACAGAAACTTGTTTAAAGTTTAGTCAAATTGAGGGGAACATGGAAGTTTGTCATGGTGGGACTGAAAAAAGCATCCCATTTGGGAAATTGATAGGGGAAGGTTTGTCTACCCAAAGCCACACAATAAATCAAAACAAAGAAAATCTAGTTTGCATTGTTTCTTTTCATTTGCTCCAGGGCACAGGATTGCTTATAAATAAAAATATGCAAATGTGTAGAATTAATCTTTCTCAACAGCTGCAAAAAATATATATTATTGGTATTTACCCTTTTCAGTCCTTTCACACACATACCCTATTTCTTGAATCAACTTAAGTACAATGGTTCCCTGCCATTCTCCTTCCCTGCCATGCTGTTTAGTATGCTAAGTATTTACAGAGGGAGCTGCATCATTTTCTTATTTGTGTCCTTTTACTAAGAAAAACATTCTCCCTTGTAGATGAAGTCTTGCAGTTTGGTAAGAGGTATAGAGAAAGTGAGAATGACACAAACTTATACCTTCATAGCAAAAAACTGAGGACTCAGTGGGTGATTCTTTGGCACTGCTGTTTACCACACTATTTAACCCACATTTCATTGTTCTCCGTCAGGTAATATTCACATAGGTAACCAGTGACTCATAAAATGGTCAAGCTTTGAACAGTACCTCTTTGGAATATAGTAACTGCCATGAATATACGCCATATACTGTCAGAGTCTTCTAAACATGTGTTTGATAACTCCTTAGCATTATTAGGAAATCTACTAGAGAGCTTTTGGCTTCCTGAATGTAAATTGGCATCCCCAATATCGCTTAGACCCTAGTGAAACAAAAGGGCATGCTTAACATCAGAAATGTGTATTAAATAAATAAATGCATGCATTTCAAGGAGCCTCCACTGTAAGTTAAGCTACATTCATTCAACAAATGTTTATTAATTAAATGACTCACAGATAGTAACTGAAAACCTACCATGTGCCAGACATTGTCCAAGGACCAGGAACACAGAGCCATCTTCCTGATGGAGCTTCTGTTGCAGTTTGAAGGACATAACAATGAAAGCAAAATAATTTAAATAGCACTGAATGTGAAAAAGACACAAAGGGTCCAGTGATGAAGGGTGCATAAGATGGTGGAAGGGAGGCTACCTGAGGTTGGGTGGTTGGAAAGGCCTCTCAGGGTGAGACTGAGTGATGAGAGGCAGCTGAGTTTGCTGCAGTTCCATAAAGTGGAGAAGGCTGCTTTGGTTGGAGCCAGCAGGATTGAGGAGCACAGGGAAGCACAGGCCCTGGAGCACAGAGAGTGCAGGGAAGCCACGTGGGACAGAAGGAAGGAAAGGCTGTGGTAAGAATCTAGATTTTATTCTAAATGCAATTGTGGAGCCACTGGAAGGTTTCAGGGGAGCCATATGATCTCAGTCTTCCATGTACCACACACTGTGCTGGATTAGGGATGTGGAGGCCACAAGAATGTCCCTCACAGACCTCCAACTTTGGAGAGTGTAATTGACCAAGGTGGCCAGTGCTGTGCTCTGATGCTTATCACCAAGCTAGGGGTAAGGCTCCACCTTCTAGGGACTTACCTAACCCACCAGTGATAGAGTATGGCAGGGATACTAAGGCTGAACTATTTCTGGGACACAGGGGACTCCTCTACCAGCCGACGCTGGCTCTGAGACTCCTGAACAGGCTTGCTGAGCTGTCCTCAGACTACAGAGTAGTCACCCACTCTTTCTTCCTCTCTGACTGTTCTATATGTATGCACAGTGGTCTGATGGTTCTCCATGACTCCTGTGGCTTCCTCCACACTTTCTCGCACAGAGAATTCCCCTCACATAATCCTTGCTTGTGTAATCACCATCTTTCTTCCTGGAGAACCTGAACTAACTCAGGTGCTACAGAGACAATGAAGAAAATCCCTGAATAACATAAAATTTCATTAAATGAAACTTCCATGCAAACAATAGCAATAGAATGATTTCAGTGATAATGATAAATAACTCGTCATCATAATATTCCATAATCCTGTAATAGTAATAAAAGTATGTACCAAACAGAGTAGTGCCATAAAAAAGAAAACTAAAATGTGACGTGGGAGGATAGTGAGTCAGGGAGTGCTTGAACTAGAGCTTGAATATTTTGTACCTGGACTGTGGGGAGAAGGGGGCATTCTAGGCAGAAGAACAGTATGTGCAAAGGTCCAGGGTCATAAACCTGCCATGCATTGAGGTTGCTCCAGACCATCTGCTATCCAGGAGTCCAGAATCTAGATCTAGGAATAATAGGCAAAGCCTGCAAATATAGGCATGGAACAAAGTTAGGGGTTTGGTTTAGCAAATAAGGGGCTACCGGCTCTTCGAGTTGGGCAGGCAACCTTTGATATGCAAATGCTGGCCATTCATAACTGGGTTCACCCAAACATGGTGATTCCCTGTCCTCTTCTTGCCCTTGCCCTCACATGTATCTGTCAGCCTGGCTGCCCCCACATATCCCAAACTGTGTATAGTAACATGGCACCCTGCATTTGCATATTAAAAGGCTAGGGTGGGAGGGCCATTTTCTTCCTGGTCTGCATGAATGACGTGCCTGGTCAAACCAATCCCCTGAGCCCTATGCAAATCAGACGTATCTTCTCCTGACTTCTCATATAACTGACTGGTATTTGCCACACGTGGGGTCTCCCCCAGTAGAGTTACTGGGGACTGGGGCAAGAGCCAGTCAGAGCAGCCTGCAGTTGGAGCCCCAGCCCCGAGAAACCCAGAAAGCAGAGTCAGGTCGGGTGCACTTGGTGTGCCTGATATGGAAAAGAGAGGCCTTTCCCTGCTGAAGTGGAAGGAGCAGAGACCCAGAGATGCCCGCTGAGGTGTGCAGGGGATCCCCAGACATGGCAGGAAGGGGGAGGCTGGCACCCCACTGTACCTGCTGTCCCTCCTCACCTCCACCTGGTTCAATTATCTCCCTCCGAGGGTAAAGCGGAGCCAGGATTCTCTGAAGGGGACTTGGGAGCCCCCTTCTTTCTGTCTCTGTATGGGGGAGCTTCTTCCCTCTTCTCCCTTTTTTCTTGCCTATTAAACTCTCTACTTTTTAAAACAAAAAAAAGTAGAAGGAAAGAGGGGACTGGTGAGATATTCACAAGGTAGTGACTTAAAAGGTCTCTATGGTAAGTGTCAAGGGAAAGGACCCTCTATTTTGCATAAAATATAAAGTCTGACAAACCTCTCGATGAGACTGTGTGACTTACAGTATTCCATCTACTGTTGTATCCCCAGAGGAATTCCGGTCCCTTCGCTTGTCCTTTTCTCCAAACCTGGATGACTACAACCCGGACATCCCTGAGTGGAGGAGGGACATCGGCCGAGTCATCAAAAAGTCCCTGGTGGAAGTGAGTGCACACAGTGTCTTCTCTTGCCCAGGTGCCTTTTCTCTGTCCTTGAAGAATTTCACAGAAAGGGGAGCTTCGTACAAAAAGAATGGCAGGAAGAAGAAGCTAGAGGCCATGGGAAGTTCACCTTATGGGTCTGATATCTCCACAGCTAAGGCCACACATGCAGACACATCAAAGGCCAGAAAGGAGATACAGCCATGGAACTGTGGATAAACATGAGGTCCTTGCCCGCTGTGACTCTTACTCTGCTAGGAGAAGGAGGACGGGACAACCTAAACTTTTCCACATTTCTGTAGCAGAGTTCTCAATTAGGCCACTGAGAAGTATAAAACCAGCTACTGTACACGCCAGTGAAGGGACTCAGCATGTAAGTGTCCTTGGGTGACTACAATTAGTAAGAGTGGTTTCAGGTTCCAACTTCCACAGCTGTGAGCCTAACAGTGCACTGAGTATTCAGTATATGATGGTTAGACATATTTCTATGTCCCCATTTTTTTTTTGAGACAGAGTCTCGCTCTGTCGCCAGGCACCGGGCTGGAGTGCAGTGGCATGATCTTGGCTCACTGCAACCTCTGCCTCCCGCACTCAAGCAATTCTCCTGCCTCAGCCTCCCAAGTAGCTGGGACCACAGGCACACACCACCATGACCAGCCAGTTTTTATATTTTTTTAAGTAGAGATGGGGTTTTACCATGATGGCCAGAATGGTCTCGATCTCTTGACCTCGTGATCTGCCCGCCTTGGCCTCCCAAAGTGCTGGGATTACAGTGCTCCCGTTTTTAAAAGATATTTCTGTACTGTAACAGCCCCCAAAAGGAACTGTTACCCACATTGTGTATATGAGGTGGCTTATCTTGCCTAAACTCTTATAGCTAACAGAGGATGAAACTAAAAAACTGAAATTCAGGGCCCGAGTCCAGTGTCTGGGCTTTTGTGTATTTAACAAAGCCTCCTTAGGTTTCTGACAGAATACCAACGTGGCTGTGGGTTAGCCCTCGTTCAGCAATGTCACTGACAACTGGAGAAGACATCTTCTTTTAGGCACACCCCCTCCTCCTTATTCTACCTTTTTTTTTTTTGAGATGGAGCCTCATCCTGTCACCCAGGCTGGAGTGCAGTGGTGCAGTCTCAGCTCACTGCCACCTCTACCTCCCAGATTCAAGTGATTCTCCCACCTCACCATCCAGAGTAGCTGGAATTACAGGTGTGTGCCACCACGCCCAGCTATTTTTTTTTTTTTTTAGCATTTTTAATGGAGATGGGGTTTCACCATGTTGGCCAGGCTGGTCTTGAACTCCTGACCTCAAGGGATCCACCTGCCTTGGCCTCCCAAAGTGCGAGGATTACAGGCATGAGTCACAATGCCCAGCCCCTTATTCTACTTTCACGAGCAGAGGAATGGGGTAGCCGCTCATGGGGCAGCTTGAACTTATTGTATAAATGTGGAAAATCAGAGGTGAGTTATCTACTCCGAGGGCATATTCTTAGCTCAGAACGAAAATCAATTTAGGTTCACTGAACATTCGTTCATATCCCAGGACATGGTGCTGGAGGATACAAAAAGACAATGAGATAAAGGCATTCAGATCACCCCTGCTCAGAAAACAGATCTCACATCCAGCCCCTTGCAAGGAGCTGGTCTTCTTTGTCTTCATTACCTTTGTTAATAGTTAGCACTTCAGATATTCTAGGTACTCTTTTCAGTGCTTTGCATTATTTTAACACATTTAATCTCACAAAGAAGCTTATGATGTTGAAACTGTGATTATTCCCATTCTGTAGGTGAAGAAATGTAACTTAGAGATATTAGATTACTCACCCAAGGTCATACAGTTAAAAATCAGATTCTGGGCCAGGCATGGTGGCTCATGCCTGTAATTCCAGCACTTTGGGAGGCTGAGGTGGGCAGATCAGGAGGTCAGGAGTTCAAGACCAGACTGGCCAACATGGTGAAATACCATCTCTACTAAAAAAAAAAAATAATACAAAAATTAGCTGGGCATGGTAGCTTGTGCCTGTAATCCCAGCTACATGGAAGGCTGAGGTAGGAGAATTGCTTGAACTGGAACCTGGGAGGAAGAGGTTGCAGTGAGCCAAGATCGCACCACTGCACTCCAGCCTGGGCTACAGAGTGAGACTCCATCTCAAAAAGTAAAATAAATAAATAAATCAGATTATTGAGTCATACCATCAAGGTTTGAATCTTGATTTTGTAGTTTCCTAACCACTTCACTCTAGGGCCATCCTTTGCCTTATTCCCAGGAGAAACAGGGATAGATGGAATAATGGGGTAAAGAAAGGGTATTTTCATGTGCCCGTGGGCAGTGCCACCCACCTCCCACTCCATGGCTCTCAGCATCTGTGACATAATTGGTGGTAACCCATTATCAGCAACAGGAGGCACAACTGCTAGACTACAACCCTAAAAGGAATAGGCCTTTCTGCCCTGAGCCGTCTGTCTCTAAGGTAACAACTGGTTTTTGTCCTCTGCTGTCCAAGAAGGATGACTTATGCTTTTTAATGAACCCACTGCCCACGTCTTCTTATCTGCAGCATTCTATGTACCTGTGTCCTCATAGGTCCTCCATCTGGTCAACTGCCCCAGGTGATTTATCAACCCAAGCATTAGCTCAGCAATGTCCCGCCTTCCAGGCTGATCTCTCTTCACATTTATTACCAAGAGATCAGACACCCTGTACCTCCACCTTTCCTACCAGCTGTCCATTAGGCTAGAAATGACTGCTCATCACTATTTCCAGCCTGCTGCATAGCATAATCAGGTATACGCAGAATAAACAGATTGACTTAATGTCCCTTAGGGCAGGGCGCGGTTATAGCAGCAGTGGTGGTGGTGGTGGTGATACTAACTTCCAGTTTCCAAGGCTCCCTAGTTAACCAGTCCCAAGAGGGAGCTGACACAGAGCGTGGCTCCTAGCATTTTACACTGACTTTGGAATCAGTAATTGCACTTGGCCACTTTCTTAAGTCCCAAGGGTCCGCATTACCAAGTGTCCACTAATAAACCTTATAAGAGGTATAACTGAGAGTCAGCTTATTTGCAATTTTCTTCCTATTTATTACCAAACAAAATTTGGCATAAAATTGTTTGCCTTTTCGTCATCAAAATGGCTTTTTCTATTGACATTTCACAATGAAATCTTAATTGAGTGTCATTATAAACACTTATGTACAGTGAAGATTATACAGGCCTAATCTCTGAGTTTACAGTCTAGTAAGGGCATAAAACAGTATGGGGTTTGCTATAATAGGAGCTGGTCTGTGTCTGGAGAAGGGAGGTACAGTGCTCTGGGTCCCAACACAGGCCTCACAGTCAGACCAGCCTTCAGAAGCATCAACAGTCACTTCAGTGGCCTTGAGCCACTATCCCAGTATTCCTACAACCACCATCTTTCCTGGAGTGGAAATTGAGATGTACCGCCAGGTCTCTGTTCAGGCAGACACTTGCTGTCTTTTCTGGGAGGGCTATGGGCAGAGTCTTCACCAGCCTGGTTCCAAGTCATGTCACTTTTTAGGGTGGCTCCTGTCTGATACAGGCTGGTGCAGGTATGTAAAGTCCTGGCCATCTCAGCCCAACATAAGAGAACTCTGCAGGGCCGTTCTTTCTCCCTCCAGGGTTACTTGAGGCTGTCATGGGCCTACATTGTAGCTCAACTTTTTCCCTTGCCCGTGTGTGTTTCCTTCCCTTTGCTCTCATAGGTGTTGTTCCCAGGAGCACTTCTTAATAAACATCCTGCCTTCTAAACTCAGGGTCACCTTTCTGAGGACCCCAGCCTGTGATATGTCCTCACTGCAAAGTGAGATATAATCATATTTACTTCAGAGGGTTGTTGTTGGAAGTTGCATAAAATAATACTGTAAGTTACTTATAATAGTAATGTTGTTGGAGGTCACAGACAATAATATAAATTGCTTAGCGCAACACATCTGGGAAGTACCTGGCATTGTGCTAAGTAGCTTAGAACATTTGATGAGGACCTAATACCTGGAATTTCTTATATCTTAAAAAAAATGCAACACAGTGGAGTTCAAAAACAAATAATCACCTACTTGGGAAATAACAAAATAAATAAGCTTTAAATAGCAAAAGCAGGGAAAAGACATTCTGGTGGGCATAGAAACATTTGTGGGAACAGGCTGAAATATTAAGAAACTGTATATCATCCCATTTGGCAAAAGCATAAGCATTGTGGGTAGTTTGGAAAGGAAGCATGGGATCATATTGGTGAAGAGCTTGAATATGTCCTTAATCCTGTTAGCAATGGGAATTCTTGCAAGCGTTTTGGACAAGGGAACATGATCTGAATTGGACTGTTGAAGAGAGAAGCTGGGATTATAGCTATTGATTCTGGAAGCATCTAGAGAGAGGATTCAGGGTAAAACCTGGGGTATAAGCTCTAGAGAGAGAAGAGTGAGCTAGGATAAACAAGAAGTCCACACACTTGAAGCTTCAGTGTGGCCAAGTGGAAGGCTCAGAGTGCTTTAGAAAACAGGGCTGGTCATGAGGTCTGATGCTGCAGAGATGTCAACAGGGACCTCCTGAGAATTATGATATGGGGATGTCCTATTAGGTTAGGTGGTTAGGATGTGATGGGTCTGTTTAAAGAGTGACTCCAGAGGGATGATGAAGGAAGAGTTAGGTTAGAAAGGGCTAAGGCATGAGGGGCAGATGATAAAGTGAAGGGCTTCCTCACTGGCATGGTTCCCCACTTGGAGATGCCCTCTAGGAGGAAGAGCTAACATTTCAATCCCAGGCTCTATTGTAAATACTTCAGGTGTAACTCATTGAATCCTCAAAATCTCCTATGAACAAGGCACGTACTATGACTGTCCTGTCTTCTATTTAAAGGAATATAGGCATAGAGAACACAAGCAATGAGCTTAAGGTCTCATGGTGTTGAATCTGGGATTAAATCGCAGACAACCTGACTCTGGAGCCTGCACCTATAGCCCAGCACTGCCTCTCACATACCTGCTGCCAGACCTCTGCTTTCAAGCCCCTTCCATGTCTTCTGCCTACCCCTGATCCCCCCCACCAAATACTTGGTCCCTTTTCAGTGTTCTTCTCTGCAGCACTTATGTGAGCCCCTGTGTCTGTCCCTCAGGCCACAGGGGTTCCAGGCCAGCACATCCTGGTGGCGGTGCTCCCCGGCTTACCCACGACTGCTGAACTCTTTGTCCTGCCCTACCAGGATCCAGCGGGAGAAAACAAAAGGTCAGCTGACGACTTGGAGCAGGTGAGTCCTCAGGAGATGTTTTCAGCTTCTCTCTGCAGTCAAAGCTATACCATTGCTAGTCTGAGTGAGGGCACCAACCGTTTGTGGAGTCTTCAACTTCCTGAGCCTCCATTTCTCACCCATAAACTGGTGATCCTAACTACAGCTTCACCAGAGACACATGCAAGAGCATTCATGGTAGGTGTCTCAGTCTGTTCTTACACTGCTAATAAAGACATACTCAACACTGGGTAATTTGTAAAGGAAAGAGGTTTAATTGGCTTACAGTTCAGCATGGCTGGGGAGGCCTCAGGAAACTTACAATCATGGTGGAAGGGAAGCAAAAACATCCTTCATCACATGGTGGCAGTAAGGAGAAGTGTAGAGTGAAGTGAACAAAGCCCCTTGTAAAGCCATCAGATCTCATGAGAACTATCACGAGAACAACATGGAGGTAACTGCCCCCATGATTCCATTACCTCTCACTAGATCCTTCCCATGACAAGTGGGGGTTATGGGTGTTACAGTTCAAGATGAGATTTGGGTGGGAACATAACCAAACCATATCACAGGGAATGGCTAAATTATTTACAGTATGGCATACTCAGTGGAGTTTACAATGCATTAGGTTAATCTCTGTATGCTGACAGAGAAAAATTGTCCATGATATCACATGGGAAAAAAAAAGCAACTTGCTGAACAATATCTTTCTTGTTACAACAGTGCCATGAGAATCAAATGACATGACATGCATATCTTTTTTTAAAGGTACACGTTTTATACAAATAACTCATCCTGTTATGATCTAATTTGTGTTTGTAATGAGTAACATTGGCTCCAGAGCACCTCTACTGCCCATGTGGGGTTCACTTCCTTCTCATCTCCACTAACTTCTGGAACATTCACGCGTGTGCACGAGAGAGAGAGAGAGAGAGTCCCTGTGTATGTGTGTGTGTGAGAGAGAGAGCAAGAGTGAGTGTCCCTGTGTGTGTGTGTGTGTGTGTGTGTGTATATGTATCTCTCTGTGTGTTTCTCTTTTTCTCCTGACCCATTTAGTCTTCTTTTTTATTCCCTTTCCTCCATTTAACTTTAAAAACTTCTCCCATGTCTGTAGTGGAGATTATTATGTTGTTATTCTTCTTCATTCATTCAGTTAAAATGATCAGTCTTAGTCTAGTTGCCCTTTTAGAAACCAAATGATTTCGATTGCTCAGTTTTAAGGTAAATAGATTAACAGTAAGATTTCTCTGAGCCACTGAGTAAATATTGGCTATATCCCTTCCAGTACTTGGAGATTTTCTGTTTACTTTGAATAAACCCATAATCTAGCCCCATGATCTCTAGTCTACCAGGATGACTTGGTAATCTTCTATAACAGTCTTATTAACAAGAACCCTGAAATTACGGCATGGCCCACCTTCTAGCATACACCCTCTTTTCAGCTGCCAATTTCTCACTTGCGGAAGGCTCACCTGTATAATTTTCTCTGTGTGCAAGTAATGAAGAGCAGAGCTCTCTTGGAAAGCCCTGTTGAACCCCATTTCCCAATGAAGAGGAGTTGAAGGGTGGGCAGCAGGTAACCCCTCAGATTTGCATCTAACCTTACTCCACACCTCAGCTCCCCATCATACTCTACAAATTATTATCTGCACTGCACTTTGGTGGGAGAAAGAATAGATTATTTCTTATCACAGCACTGCCAAGAACCTAGAGGGAACTGGATCCCCATCCAAGGCTTTTAGATATGAACATTTGCAGTTGTACCTCCTCTAAATCTTACTGGTTTTTCATGAAATCCAGATTGTGATCTTTTCAAGTATGGAAGAGGGTACAGAATTAGAGTCACCTTTATTCCCAGTTACCATATCATCTATGCACTTTTATTTCTCACACTTTCCATTTTTTCTTCTAAAAGTATTGTATTATCTGCATCATTCTGTGAGGGGAAAACTGGAAAGAAGAGGGTCTGTTCTGTGAAACTCCTTAACCTTATGTATGGCTGTGTCTTGCTTTGACCATCTGCTTTGTCTAGACTTCTTGTTTCCCTTCATTCTCTGTCTCTTCTGGGTGTTTCCTGCAAAGGCATTCTCAGAGAGCTGAGTATGGCCCTTGAGGCAGCCCGTATCAGTCATTGGTGAACCAGGTCATCAGAGATCTGAAACCAACTAGCTTGCTTGAAGGTGTGTGACTTAGAATTGGCACACATGTAGAGGCGTCTGTCTGTCTGCTTAGAAAGAACACAGGCTTACATAAATATCAACCAGTTTCTAGTTTCCCCTCTGATATTTATTATGCCCATTTTATACGTTAGGAAAGTGAGGAAAGAAAAGTTGAATAATTGAGCCAAAGTCCACACCTATCTCATGGGGTTTTGAAGAGGATTAAAGAAATGATACAGCAAAGTACTTGGCCTTGAGTGAATGCTCACTGATGGTATAGAGACAATGGTTACATTCATCCTTATTGTTTGGAAAGAAGAGATGTGGAAAATGAAAAAACCAAGTTCAGTTAGGCCTATTAAATAGACTGGGATAGCCAAGGGCAGGTATTCGAAGAGAGGATGGTGGGAGTAAGGGAAGAAAGATTAATGAAGGCAATTAACAAAATGGGAAAAACAAGGACAATAGGGAAAGAATGTGCATGAATGGCATGAGCTCATGCAACTTATGCAGATTTATAGTATGAAAAGAAAGTAAAGTACCAAGCTGGAGACTGTAAATTTGTTTAAGGAAATTACTAGTGTATCAGCCTATTCCAGGACTCAAACCAAAGTAGACACAGTGACTTTACAAATGCCAAACAGAGCACATCAGAAATTAGTGTCTTAGTTGTGGAGAACATTATTACCCCGATGAAAAAATGCTCATGAAATCAACTTATTAAACCAAGGCACATGTCTAGACCCTGTGAGACAGGAGCATCTCCTGGGGACCCATAGTTTTCAGTCCAGGAGGGTTCCTTTAATTCTTTGCTCTGACTCAGTCATGTAACTTTAAGGGGAAAAAAGTGAGTTTCTGAATTTATTAAATTGAGAAGTCCAGAGATACAGTTGAGGCATAGATAAATTCAGAACCACTCAAAAGGGTCACCAAATTACTTTCCTCTCTTCCTGTCTCTCCATCTGTTTTCCTGGCTACCATATGGGAAGTTGGCCTGAGAATGCAGCCAACACTTAGGAAAGAAAAGATGGCCACAGGCATCCCCACCTACTGTTTAGCCAGTGTATCAACCCCATCCAGAGACAGTACCTTCATCTGATTGCAACAGTGAGAGCTGCAGGTTCACAGTTTTCACTGGTCTTAACTGTGTATAAAGTGGGCATCTCTTAGCCAATCCCTGCAGTCATGGCGACAGTGTGCTGTCAGTGACAACTCAGATGTTTTATGCCCTCCCTGAACCAAATGGACCAAGACTAGACAAGGACATGGATTCCTCAAAGAACAATGTGGGGAAGGGAGAAGGAATGCTGGGAGGAAAATGCGACTGACGTCCATTGTCGCATAAATTATACAGACATTTAAGACAAAGGCAAAGCAAAATCAAACAACAGAAATGAACCCCCTCCTTTGAAAGCTGTTCTCTAAATCTCAGCTGAGACTTTAGAAGGGTCATCCTTATCCCCTCATTTCACGCCTTGGCCCCTTTCTTGTAAAGATGCAGTACAGATACTCCTGCAGTGAAAGAACTGGGTTTCTAGACAGATGTGCCCTAAAGAATGGAGGGCAGGGCCCCAGCAAAGGACTCTCAGCCCTTCTTCCTTAGCCTCCTCTGAAAGCCTTCCTGGGGAGCAGATGTGCTGTCTTGCATCAAGTTCTCTTGTCTGTAAAATAAATTGAAAATTATTCACAATGAGAAGTACTTGACCCTGTTATCAGGATGAGGCAGGCTGGGTTAATCAAGTGACCTCTGTCTGGGAGGGTTCCACCAGTCTTTACTGAGGATCTCTGGTGAATGAAGAAAAGCTCTCTCGCCCTGAGCTGGCCTGATTAAGGGTAGCTCATGCTGCTGTCCTGAGGCCAGCTGCTCAGATGCGGAGCCAATCCTGCCCCTCAAGCATCCCACTCCCTTGCTCCCCTCAGAGTCCTCAGGGGTGAGAAAATTTGTTTCTGCCTCTCCTGGAGGGAGAGAAGACCACCATGCTCTATTGCAATTATTTGTGATGCTGTGCTGAAGAGATAAGGAGCCTATGTGTGTTGTCTTTCAGAATCCTTAAAGGACATTAGAACACTGAAACAAAACCAAAAAGATGTGGAAAAGATGTCAACCACAAAAATGTATAGATATATTCCCTCCTTGGCTGTTTTTATTCCTCTACACAGTTGGCAGTTGCAGAACCTGAACCAAGGAAGGAAGGAAAGGCAGATGTGAACATGGAGCAGGGTGACAGCATTTTAAGAAATTAGACATTTATTATGAAATGGAATTAATACTCTCTGTTTTTTGTGTATCCACATATTTTGCTTATCAGTCCAGATCTTCTTAACATGGGAAATTGAATTATACTCTGGTGTTTACAAGGAAGGTCACTGAGGCAGGAGAAGTATAACCAAAAGTGGAGCAGGTAAGAGATGGACCAGAACCAGTGTGGCAAGACCGAGGAGACAGAGAAAAGCTTAAAGTGGGTGATGGGAAATGCAAGGAAACACATGTTTATGGCTGATTTGTTTCTTCATGCACCATCATTCACGAGACCCCTAAGGCAACTAATCAGGCTAAATTTGTGGTTGTATGTGTGTGTGCATGTTATGAAGGAATGAGGTTGAGTGAGCTAGTGTTGATTAAAACTTAGTATTTGGCTTCATTGCTTCCCTGCCATTCAGTGCAAAAATTGTATTGTATGAATTGGGAAAGATCTTCCTCTGTTTAACCCTAAAGGAATATTCCTCAACTGCTACTTGAAGAGATTTTAATAGTGCAATAGTATCAGGATGGACCAACTGAATCTGCTCCCAGGTCATCCCAGGCAACTCTCTAAACATGGCACCAGAATGCTCTTATGTTCAGTAAGATTTGCATTCATCCTACCACCTTCAGAATAAATATTAGTATTTTGGTCCAGTGTAGCTTTGCCATTAATAAATTTGCCTAAGCCCATTTGAATCTGTATGTTTACCTTGTGCCACTTCTTTGGGTTACATATTCTATGAATTTATAAACTACTGTCCTTAGAACTTCTTTTTCATGTTTCAATAATTGCCACTTTCATTCTGATCGTCCGACAGTGTTTTGCCCTCTTGGTTTCATTAGAAAATCTTTGGGTGTTAAATGTGTTTTTTTGTGTGGTAACCATCACTAGGTGACTAAATATTTCCAGCCCATTGCTTTCAGGGTACATGATGGGGCTGTAGACACGAGTCTCTTCTGCTGGGGCAGAGCCTCAGGACTTTGGGAGCAGAAGTGGTATGTGCTACTTCCAAGCTAAAGTATTCAAATGCACATTGTAGAATTTTGCTAGCTCCTTTTCCCTCTTCTGCTATAAGTAGCAAATGGAAATGTTTGAGATGGCCACTCCACCAGCCAATGTCCCCGTGTGACCACAGTGAGCCCAACAGCACTGCATAGCTGCAATGGATATGATGTGTAAGCAAAAAAATGGCCTTTCTTCATTCAAGGCCGTGACCACAGCCACATGTAGTTGATTCTGAGTGCTGCATTCAGTCTTCATCTTTTGTGCACAAGACAATGAGGAACATTGGTGTTTTCCCTGTAGTGGGTCCCTCCCAAGACACCCTTTTGATGTTAGCTTTTCTAAAATTCGAATTGAGTCTCCACTGTCCTTTTAAGTGGTAGTTTACATGAAATGTAGGTTGTTGCATTTGAATCATAGGCATATTCCACAACATAGACAGATACCAAGAATAATGTGTTGTTTCTTTGTCGTGCTTGCTTAGCTGATGTGGAATAGAAAATGGACTGTGCTGGAAAGCAGCAGAAGAGGGATGAGTGTATACAGGATCAATGAAAATGTGTTAAGCCAACACGCTTTTCACCAGACAGAAAAAGAAAAGGAAATAAATTCAATTTGCCTTAGCAGGTTCAGTCTCTCTCCTAGAAATCACACAGTATTTCACTTGAGTATCAGGCAAGTGTTTGCTCTTCTCATTTAGGCTGTTGCTGTACCTTTCAGTAGAAAGCAGTTTATTCTGCTCCTTTCCATAGCTAAAGACTCTCCCAGGTATTACCAGTTACATAACTGGTGAACAGAATGTGGCCCTCTGAGGATGGTGTTAGGAAATGGCTACTCCTATAGCCCGTATTGATCACTGGGGCTGATGTTTTAACTTGGGTGTTTCACAGATGAATGAGAAATGGCAGCATAATTAATAAAAATACTGTATTTTCCCATCTTGTAAACCTACTCTGCTAGACTTCTCTTCAGCTATGTCCTGCTGTCTCTCTGTCAGCTTGTTCAAGGAAAATATTTTTAATGGAGATACCCTAGGATTAGAAGTCAAACAAAGCTAAAGTCTAGTCTCAACTCTTCAAATATTAACTGAACAAGATTTGGTATTTCCTTTAAGCTCCATGGTCCTTTCCAGGAAGATGCCAACACTAACACCTAAGATGTGCTCTACTAGAAAGAATAGTAAGAAATAATCACCTTTACAAAAATAGTCTTCACAGCATGTGTAATATACCTTAGAAGATAAGTAACAACTTGTAATCTTTGGAAAAAACACGGGATAAACACTTCTTCAAGAATTACGGAAAACATTTAAAATATTGTCAAAATCTGTCAACAGTTTCATACTCATTTCAGTAGAAAAGTACATGATTCTAATTGAGATTATTCTTGTATGCAGTGTAAATTTCATTTAGTTTTGTTTCTTATGCATATTTTTGCCACAAAGTGTGTGTTCCTTGTTGTATGTCCTTTGATGAAAGTTAAATATATGAAACATACTTTCTGTTACCAGATAATTTTTAAATTTAAATTTCTTTCTTAAAATTTTGTAAATGATACAGATAGAGCCAATGAAACAATGTTGCAAACTGAAACAAATCCAAATAGTTAATGCAATTCTGTATCTGTCTGTGTGCATGTATGTGTGTCTATTTCATAGCTAAAACTTTTGTGATAGACCTCTCTAACAAATTCCACTGTCTGATTCCTATAAAGATTCTGCCAATTAAAAGACAAGAACACACAAAAACGAAAAAAAAAATAAAAATAAACAGAAGATAAGAACACAGAGGAAAACTATTCTATGCAGTCTGGGTTAGAAATACACTTTTCTACTTCTTTTTTTTGTGTGGGGTTTTTTTTTTTTTTTTTTTTTGAGACAGAGTTTTACTCTGTTGCCCAGTCTTGAGTGCAGTGGCGTGATCTTGGCTCACTGCAGCGTCTGCCTCCTGGGTTCAAGTGTTCTCCAGCCTCCGCCTCCTGAGTAACTTGGAGTACGGGTGTGCACCACCATGCCCGGCTAATTTTTTGTATTTGTAGTAGAGACAGAGTTTCACCATGTTGCCCACACTGGTCTCAAACTCCTGAACTCAAGTGATCCACCTGCCTCAGCCTCCCAAAGTGAGCCACCGCGCCTGACCAGAAATCCACTTCTGTGAGCCTGGATCATTCTGGATGATTCCCAGCCCCCAACAAAGGAAGTAGCCTAATATACAGAATAAAGTCGGTTTTGTTTTCAACGTAGTTTTATGACCATCTTGTTTTTCTGCATTGTTTGCTAAATGACAGCATTTGAAAGGCTGGGCTTGCACAGGATCCCAGGTGCTCAATGACTGGGCAGTGACGGTCATCCTCTGTTCCTGTTGTTCAGGAGAGAAGTTTATCTGTGGGGCAGTTCAGTTCTGCTGCCAATCAGGGGCTTCTGCAGGTGACTTTCTGCTTCCAAATGAAGCCATCAGGACCTACTTAGCAAGTAAAGGGATTAAAGGTGTCATTTTGGCAACTCACTGGAATAAGTAAAACTAGACAAATAGAAAAAGACAAAAGTTAAGAACTTAATTAGAAGAATGACGGTCAGAAAGCATCTAATTAGACTAACATAACATGTTAAGTAAAATATTAAATTGATGATTTGAATATTAAAAATAGGGCTAGCAGACCAGATAAAAATAATAGCAGTATGATTATCACTGTAGCTTTTCAGAAATTCCTTGAAATTATAAAAGAAGCAGCTAATGGAGCTAGGTTTTCTAATCTAAACAAAATGTTACCTCATCAATAAAACCTTACCTTATACTATTTCTATCCAAATGAAGTTATTTGTCCCATGGTTGGGGTTAAATATTTCATAGTCGAGAATTCCATCGGTCTGCCCAGTACACATGTGTCAGCCTGAGAAGCAGTTTAGATAATATAAGCATGAAATAAAGGTTAGCTAATTTGTTACTTATGTTATGGCTTTACTTTGCTGCAATTCCGAATTAGCAGACCTTTATTTACCATACAATAAATATTCATAAAATGTTTTGTGAAAATCACATGGTTTGGGAAAGAGAATGGAAGTAAGATGAATTTATGTGAATCTTAGAATGTGTAAATTGTATATATCTACTTCTTTTAAGTCCTTATGCATAACAAATGTTCTCTCAAAATACTAGGGATAAGTTTTCTAAGATCATACAGAATAATTTTTAAGAGTATAATTGTTTTCGTTCATTAATAGTTTCTCCTATTTTGTAGCAATTAGCACGTAAAGACAGGTCATGCTAAAAATAATTGTATCTGAATATTCTGGAATTTAAAAAATCAAAGTCATATCAACCTTATTTATATAACTTGCAGATATAATAATTGTGATGTCTTGGTGAATATGGTAAATATTTCTAAGCATATTTGTTTGTAATCAGTATGATGCGTTCAGTGGCACTAACTATGCTGCTTTTTTCAGATATCAGAACTGCTGATCCACAAGCTCAACCAAAACTCAGTACACTTCGAGCTGAAGCCAGGGGTCCAAGTCCTGGTCCATGCTGCTCACTTAACAGCAGGTCAGTGTCCATGTCCCTGGGTTCTGGCTGGTGGCTCTGGTAAAGAGAATCCCAGTCTGTGCTTTCTTCCTCATAAAAAGGCCAGATGGTAACAATGCTAATCAGAAATCAGTCATCAGATCTTGAAGGTTCCCTTCCTTGGTGTTTCTGCCTTAATGGAGGATTGATTAGACAACAGAAAATGGTGACACTTTTGGCTGGCCGTGGTGGCTCACACTTGTAATCCCAGCACTTTGGGAGACCGAGGCAGGTGGATGACTTGAGGTCAGGAGTTCGAGACCAGCCTGACCAACATTGTGAAACCCTGTCTCTTCTAAAAGTACACAAATTAGCTGGGCATAGTGGTGCATGCCTGTAGACTCAGCTACTTGGGTGGCTGAGGCAAGAGAATCACTTGAACCCAGGAGGCGGAGGTTGCAATGAGTTGAGATTGCGCCACTGCATTGCAACGTGGATGACCCAGTGAAACTCTGTCTCAAAAAAATAAAAGTGACACTTTCTACTTAGTGTCTGGCAAAAACTGTCAGTGAACCACATATATACATCTCACATGAAAGCACGCTTCATTTATCTCAACAGCAATCTTGAAAATAACATTAACCATACAAATACATTTCACTGTGGGGGCTTTCTGCAAAGTTTTATTTTCAGTATATTCATGTTACAAAAAATTTGCTTTCTTTAAGTTTCTGGATAATCTAGTGCAGTAGAAATAGCAGGAACTTAGGAGTGGTACAGGGCCATACCCAGGAACTGAACCTGGAATTGGTCATGATCTTACAATTTACTTAATGTCATTGAGCTTCTATCTCTTCACCTGTAAAAGGTGGTGGTAAGGATGGGGGATTCTCCATCTAAGCTTATGGAGAGTTTTTCAATGAAAACACAAGTTACTTAGAATAGATGATAACACAAGTAACTTAGAATAGTTTTTGATTATAACACAAGCATTTAGAAATATATATTGTTGTGATGTATTAATAATAACATAAAGTAAGAGTATTTATTGAGTACTTATTTTTGCAGCGTACCATGCTGGTGCTCTATGGAGTAAAAACACCAGTGGGAGATGGTCTTTGTCTTCACAAAACTTACAACCTGGTTGTGGTGTGGGGAAGTTTGGTGTTACAAAGGCAGTGGTACTGTGGGATGGGAGGAGTAGGCAGTGGGGGGCAGTCAATGAGTAAACTGCATAAATTCTTATAGAGAGAGGCTATGTAGCATCTTTAAGCACTTGGATTTTGTTTTCCCAGTCAGAGCATTAGTTTCAATCTTGGCTTTGTTCCTCACTGTGTAATTCTGGGAAAGAGATTTCACTTCTGTGTGTCTCAGAGATCGTAATAGCATCTATACTAGTGGGATTGTGTGACGGTTAATTCAGGTAATGCACTTAGGATAGTGTCTGGAACATAGCTGTAATATTTATTTTTACTCTTATCACCTAAAGTTGTATAGAAAATTTAAAGCAGAGATGAGTTATATGCTGTCAAAATGATACAGGATTGTTTTGTGGAGTAGGAGGTTATAAGGAAGAACCTTAAAGGATGGATAGGATTAAATGCAAGAGGTCATTCTAAGCACCAAAGCACCAAGGCAGGAAAGTCTAAAGGGATTTGAGGATGCTGAACAAGTGAGGACAAAAGGTAGCTATTATCAGCACCATTCTCTGGTTTCCTTGAGATTTCACGAGGCACTGCTAGGTCGAGTGGAAGGCCAAGCAGGCTGGCCATTGACCTCTCCCCCTCTTGGATTTTATCTTTTTTCCTTATTGGATTGCATATAAGATTTTATTATTATTGTTGTTGTTTTCAATTCCACTATTTTAAAGAAATGAATATTTAACATTCACTCTTCCTCAGCATGAGGTATGGAGGTGTGGAGGGTGAAAACATGCCAGGGTGAGCCATTTGTGCCTACTTTAGTGAGTAAGCCATCAAAGGTCTGGGAAGCCATTGAGACCTTTGAACAGAAGTGTGACTGATTGAGTGTCCTTGGAAAAGATGACTGCAAGGAGCAAGTAGGATTGAGTAGGGCTGATTTCCTGTTCTGCATCTTGTCATCCTAACATCCATTGAACAGATACTTACCAAGTGGCTGCCTATGCTGGGCCAAGCAATGTTGTCAGCACTAAGGACAGAATCTCCGCCCTCATAAACTACTCTTGCTGGTAAAAGCCGCTTTCTGAATCATATGCTAGTGAAAATTCTTGAAGAAAAGGCTGCCAACTTATCTCAAGGCATTTGATGATCTTGACTGGCCTTTTCCTACCCAGAGGGTTGAGCGTTGGTGTTTGATGAATGGGAGTAGCATATGGCAGAGTCACATATGACTCATTGTATGGGAGAATGATCAAATTTCAGAAACAAGAGTTGTAGTCCTCCTAATAGCCAAGCCACTGACAAATGTTGTCAATTGAGTAGAAAGTAACCGTTGAACATTGGTTTAAAAAGATTTACTAACTTATTTAATCTTATCAGACCATCTAGCCTGAACCTCATTATGCACTACTTGGTCCCTTTGAGTTTAGAAATTAAAAACAACTAAGCTTGATATTCCACACTGAAGTCTGTTTTTGAAGAGATGTGGCCAACTTGTCCATTCTTTGTCATGCAAAATTTGCTTTTACAACATAACAAGTCTTTGAATGAACACTATCTTTACGCTTGGTATATCAGAACACAGTCCCTTTTTGGATTACCAGAGACCTCCCTCCATTGAACAGGAGAGCATTGGAGATCAAGCTAGGCAGGGAACTAACCCTACTTCTCCCATTCTTCATTCCTGGAGGCCACTCCCATTTCACTCTTTTTCTTCCTCCATACTTCTTCTCTATCTATGCCTGGTTTTTATTTGACTGATTATTGCATTATGCTCTAAAGTTGGTTCAGATTATTTTGGAAGATATTGAATGTTCCCACCACAAAGAAGTGATAAATGCTTGAGATGATGGATATGTTATTACCCAGATCTGATCACCATGCTTATGTATCACAGCATCACTATGTATCCCATAAATATGTATAATTGTTATGTGTAAATTTAAAACAATTTAAAAGATTGATATGTTACCATAACGTTAGGGAGTAGTGGTATTTTTAAAAAATGAAATCTTATTTTAAATGTTACTTAAGAACACTTTCTTCAATGACAAATGGTTTAGAGCTGGGACGAAACTGAAATATTGAGATCAAAACGTGGGTAATTAGCTGAGACTGGTTTGGCCAGTTGGCTTGGCCAGAGAAACTGAATATAGCAAAGGCATCCTAAGGCCCTTGGATTTATAGCTCCTTGTGGGAAGGGAAGTCAATTCCTGATACCACGAGAGGTTAAATCCCACTGGTAGAAACTCCAGATGGCGAAAATAATGCAAAGTTGGGAAGAAGTGAAACATGTTTCCAATTCATATTTGTAGTTTATTCTATAACTAGGAGTTTGGAAAGCAGGACTCAGATTCCCAAGAAGAAGGGCTAGCAAAAGGGAGGTATATTTTGGGAACCTAGATATGCACACTGAGATTTGAAGAAGAACCGCTTGCAGTATAGATATGTGTAACACAAGGTCACCAAAGGGGGAAAAAATCCATTTCCAAGTAAAAGCCCATTCGTAGCCTGGACCAATTTGGAGACAGTGAGAAAATTATTTGACTTCCAACCATTGTAGAAACCTTTCCTGTTATTTTCAATAGTAGGGTCCTTTGGCTGTACAAGTCCAAGCCTGATCAACTGGCATTACTATGTTTTTTATCATGGCTAAGCTCAGCAACTGGAGTAGATATAGATTTATATGTGGATAATCAGCTCCAATTTGATAAGTAAATGAAGATAATCTCATGGAGTAACTGAGTCTTGGAAACTTTTGCTATATTGAGTTTGGCTCTGATGATTATAATGTGTTAAAACTGGCAGTATCCACAGGTGAACATCACTCTGGGATAGATTTTCATATGCAAAAGACAAATTGTGTCAACTGGCACAACAATTGTGATAAGGAAGTAAAATTTGTGAGGGATCCTTTCCTTGTTGGAGATTGCTCCTAAGTTACCTGTAGCTAAATGATTGAAAGAACTATTTGCACAGGATGGTAGACCCTACATATACAAAAGCAGTGGAGGGACCTTTCACTCATGGAAAAATTGGCACTTTGGTAGGGTATCAGTGGGCTGAGACACTTGCCACAGTTTCTTTTCTTTTCTTTTCTTTCTTTCTATATATATATATATTTTTTGAGATAGTGTCTTACCCAGTCACCCAGGCTGGAGTGCAGTGCCGTGCTCACTGCAACCTCTGCCCCCTGAGTTCAAGCCATCCTCCCTCCTCAGCCTCCCAAGTAGCTAGAACCACAGATGCATGCCACCATGTCCAGCTAAGTTTGTTGTATTTTTGGTAGAGATGAAGTTTCACCAAGTTGCTCAGGCTGGTCTGGAACTCCTGAGCTCAAGTGATCTGCCCGCCTCAGCCTCTCAAAGTGCTGGGATTACAGGTGTGAGCTACCACAGTTTTTTTTATTAGGTTGAAATTAACACAGTAATATTTTGGTGGCAAGAGAAAGAAGGAGTAGGAAGCCTGAAAAGAGAGAGAGAAACAGTGGGGAGGAGTATTAGATGCAGAACTTCCACCTCGTCTCTATCTCCCTTTCTCTCATCCCCGCTGAAGGCAGAGGAAAATAAAAATTAAAAAGGGAAAACAGAAAGAACCATTGTTAGCAACATTTCATGTCTCATAAGCAGGATGGCTAATATCTTCCCAGGGACCATTACAACATGCTGCTTCATCCCATTAATTGCTCAGCAGATGTTCAGCAGCTTTCTTTTAAAAATGTTTGAGCCAGAGTATGCTGTTGGTGAGAGAAGCAAATGCATAATTTGGTTTGTCTCCAAGGAGAAAGAACTGTCTCTTTTTAAGAATTTACTAGCCTTATCTTGGTTTTCAAATTCAGTTCCCTGTTTGCTTTCATAGGAACAAGGAAAGTATTTGCAGATATCCGAATGCCATTAGAGACTG